AACCTTGCTTAATTTCTTCTTCCTTGCAGAGAGTTAAGCAGTTGATATATGCAGCTAACTATTCGCAGTGGTTATTAATTCTGATAACAGTGACATAATGTTTGGTTGCATCTCCAGAATTCCTATAGAGCTATTCTCTGATCTTATAAAAGGACAATATTAATTCTGCTGGTGACAGAAGTTCAAGTATATAAATATATGGCTCTCGGTGTGACAGTAGAATCCTGCTTCTCTCCAAGTGGAAGATCCTTTGAAGGCACGAGGACACACCAGTTAACTGGGCCGTTTTCCCAGTGTCACACATAAAATAAAAGGAGAGGGAATGGATAAAGCATCATACCACCATACAAAATTCTATTCAACCTACTCCAGACTGGGAAGGTCAGGTGTGTGTGTTTAGTCCTGCATGCACAAGGATGGTTAAGTAGTGCCCAAGTATGGCATTAAATGACACTGAAGAGGAAGTGGTTATCTTTTTACTCCATTGAATATTTCAGATAATATCAAGGAAGTGTGAGCTGGAAGATGGTCTTCTTTCAAATTCTTTGCTTCTCAAAGGATGGTCCTCAAATCAATACTGCAGGAGGGATTATTAGAAATACAATCCAGATGTGGCCTGAGATAGACTGGATCAGAATCTGTTTTTTTACCAAGAAATCCATGTGATTTGTGTGCATAGTAATATTTGAGATGGCCCTACTAGGGGTGTGCTAGAATTACTTCTTTACTGGGTTTCTCGAAGTTGAAGGTCAAATTTTCATTAACAGCCAAAACAGGTTAGTGGTCACATTGGAAGTTTGAAATCGGCCTGAGTGGAAATCAGAAAACACTCCAAATCAGGGATTTGTATTTTTTCTTTTAGATAGTCCCTTGTTAAATGTTTACTAGTTTGCCTCTAACTATTGCTGATCTTTTTAACAAATAGAGATATGACCTCAGGCTTTGATGGTACCCACATTAGTCAAAGTAAAACCTTATATAAAATGTGATCCTTCTTTTCTTCTGCTTGCTTATCTTCACAATGAAAATGATTAATAATAATACATATATCAAGATTATTTTGAAGATTAGATGCTTGTGTGTATGTGTTCCTTCTTCATGATTTAATATTATCAAGGCTCTTTCTAAATGTTCATTATTAATCTTATAATTTTACAGTTACATTCTATTATGACAAGTTACATTGACTTTCCAGTTTTAAATGAATATTTAAAAAACTAAGCCTGTTTCAATAAAGGGTAATATAAAAATACAGGTAGGTAATTTAAGAATTTGGCAACATTTAATGAGGCAGCATATGAGTGTTTCAGTGCTTAGAAGCTATATACAGGGATGAGTTTTAAAAAAATGACTGATGTGGATGAAAAAGAACTTCCACTGAACGGAGATAATTTTTCTCCAGATTTCTGTCAGTGACTGCAGGGCATTGGCAAAGTGACACCCACCATTCCTCTGAAAAAGTGGAAAGTTGCACACCCTCTCTGTGGGTTGACATACACTTTTATTCCCCAAACACTTGGAGAAGTCAGACATGCCATTTTCACAAAGAATTGTCAAAGAAGAGTGTGCCTTTTTTTGGCATGGACTCTTGGGAGACCATGGCCATTATGGATTTGGTGGGTTAGGGGAAAAAGAGGAGTGTGTGATCTCTGGGTGAACTTGCAAGTGATGATTTAAAAACTGCCTCAGATACTTACCCATTCAGAGATCCTGGATTGGTTTTGATGGACCTGTTCCTGTCCGTGGGTTGACTGAAATGTTCTTTCACATTGAGCCCCTCCTCAGTTGGCTAATTCCTTCTCAACATGGAGGAGACACCTCCTCCTGGAAGCCTTCTTTTCTACTGCCAAGATGAGTGGCATATCAGCACTCTGTATTCCTCTATCCCTCCCAAGACCACTTTTTTATTAATATGACAATTATATGTTTTTTTATCTTTCCCAATTACGTTGTTTGCTCCTTGAGTATAGGAGCTCTGACCTGTTTGCTTTTCTATCCCCAGTGTCTGACACATAATAAAATATGCATCATTAATTAAAATAATAAAAGAATGGGTTGTGTTAAGAGAGAATTTTGAAGTGACTTTCCCTAGGTTCAAATAATGATTCTGTCCTTACGGAGATGTTCCTTAGGCAAGTCATTTAATGAATTCTCTGCCTTGGTTTTGAACACAACAACTCAAGGTATTGAAAGCTTTATTTAACTGTAAGATATGTTGGCAATGGATGATTTTTGTAGCTACACACATATCCCATTAGTCATATATTCATTCTAGCTTGTGAATCTCTGTCATTATATAAAATTGTTCCCAGGTTTATAATGACTTTTGCCTGATTCTGGCGAGTTTAGATAGGTCCTCTATCATGTATATCACCTTCTACCTGAATCTCACTTGGTAGTTTCCATAATGGAAGTATCTATTATGATTTGATGTTGGAATTAAGCTTTACTATAGCAGAATCATTAACAACAAGGTTCCCAAAGGTATTTGGCACAATTCAAAGGGTATATTCCTGCCGATCTATCCTCATGCTTTACCAAGATTACCTCCTTTGGTCCTCAAAATAAACTGTTAGGTCCATATTATTAACAATGTTGTCATTCTTGCAGTTGTCATTAATTAAGCCCTGGTTGTACCCAGGTAAGTGTAAGGACTAGAATGTAAGCCCCAAACAGGCCTGTACTAGAGGTCACTTGCAGGACCCTCTGCTGCATCTATATAACTTGGGTCACTGGAGAACAACACATGTGGCTTTTGAGCCCTGAAGTAGGCTTGCCATAGAAAGGGTATATTTGAAAAGAGAATAAGTCTCTTCCCTGGGAAGCAGGGAGGCAGAAACATGGACCAGAATGTATCTAACCATCTGCATAAAATGGACAAGCCCTTCCCTTTCCTGCCTCCCCTTGACACTTTGGGGAAGATTTTTGTGTAACTTTTTGCCACTCCTGGGCCTTGCTTACTTTTATTGTATAAGTCACGTAGCTATATTCTTTGCTTCTCTTTTTTTACTAAAGCCTCTGCAGGTCAGGGACCCTGTCCCCATGACTCTCATATTGTGACTGAGGATAATCACATGAATTACAGTTTGGTACAGTTTAGCTTCCCACCTTTTTGTTGTTTTTGTGTGTCTTAGTTCTGAACCACACCCACTGCTGCCCTGTACGATAGGGATTATTTTTATGGCCATTCTGCATTTGAGAAAACTGAAGCTCAGGCAACTTTAACATCTTGTCCGTTACTGCAGAGGTAGCAAGTTGGGTGAGCATGGATTCAATTCTGAGGCTCTCTGCTTCCAGAACAGACACTCTCTGCCATACCCCAATACTCCTTCAGCACGGCTCCCTACCGTCTTGCTGGGAGAGAGCTTGGCACCCTAAGGATATCCTGCAGATGCCTCTTCAGTAAATAAATGGTTTGGCAATTCAGAAAGGGACAGATATTTGGGGACTACTTCATTGGGACCAGTTCTGAAGCCTGCGGATCTGTGTTTTTACCCTGGGATCAAAGTGGGTCTTAAGGGAAGACTTGATTTCCCTGGGTGTGCTGCAGTATTAGGGAAAGAAGAAGACATTGTTCTGGAGTGTTCTCTGAGTTGGTGCCCAAGGGAAAGCCGCTGTCTTCCACTTCCAAAACAACTGTTGCTTGCAGGGGCGCCCTGCACATTCATCAGGGTGAGGCCCTTTTGAGTCCTAGAAATCGAACTGAGGACAGACAGAGTGACAAGCAGGGGGACCCATCTGGCCATCTTGTTAGAGGGGACACTGCCTGTATTTACAGCTGCATCAGTGTCTGCTCCTTTCATCTGGCTCCACTAAGCCACTCTCCAGCCTACCCAGTGTTAAAGAGTTTTTTGCTTTCTCATTTGGAGCCAGAATAGAACCAGGGACGCAGAGGTGAAAGGTTCCCTACCCTATTATGAATTCCCTGAGCCAAACCATTCCCACAGGTGTCCTGAGGAATTATTTTCCCATTTAATCTAATTCCGTGAGGCTTCTCTCTGGAATCTGTAGTGAACATTTTCTTTAAAAATAATCTTTGTGAGAAGGAAGAAACAAATTTTGCTACACCAAAGGTAAGCAAAAAATGTATTTGACACCTCAGGTGATGGGGATTTCTTTATTTATTTTGCTCATCCCTTTCTGAATTTCTTCAACTGAAAATTTTATCTTTACTATATTTCATTCCCAAAGGAATTTTTTTTTTTCATAATTCAAATCTCCCGTTCAACTATACATTTACAACAGGAGCCCTGACACTGTCCTGATTATGGCATATAGGCTGGACATTACAGAATCCCTCTCTGGGAACATTCTAATTTTATTCCTTCATTATTAGCATCCTGTTAGAGAATTGTATTCTGTACCCTGAAATGGAAATAGTCCTGTCTGATGGGAATTGGTAGGGGAGACCATAAAAATTAGATAAATTCCTTTTCCCACTCCTATTCCCATTATTATTATTAATATTATTATTATTATTATTATTATTATTATTATTTAAATTTACTCATTAGAGTTCGAGTTTCTTCACAGAGTTCAGCATACCCTGTCTTTGAACAAGGTTTTTCATGTTTTTTTTTTTTTTAAAGAAAACAGTCAGAGGCGATCTATTCTGCGTACACCCCCAACTTCATTACAAAGAAGAATCTAAGAAGAGAGAGAAGGGGGGACCAGACAGAGGGAAGGAAGGACAAAAGTTAAGAAGAAATGGAGGGAGGGAAGGAGTGCAATAGGAAAGAAAGGAGGGAAAAGAGACTTAGGGCTTGAAGCAGTTTTTGATAAGTGACACACCTATGGAATGAATACTAAAATCTAAATGAAGCTTAAAAAATCAAAGGACTTATTAGTCTACTCATTCTAATTCTTTAGATCCTCTTCCTTCACTTCAAGAGTTTGGGAAGTGCCTATTATCACTCACTTAGGTGCTTCTGAAAAGCAGTGATTTGGTTTTAAAACCTGTTACAGGGGACCCTTATCTTTCTTCCTCCTTGTTTTTGCAGGAAATTTCAACGGAAAGGAAAGCCAATGGATTGTGGTCTTAGAAAAGCTGCTTAGATGATGTCTGTTTCCAGAGCTTTCAGCACGTGGCAGAGCTGTAAGTAAGCACTCGGCACTGCATGATGAATTGGATGGCTGCAGACCGGAGGCAAACAAAATAATTGTCTCATTTTCGTGGTGATTTGCTTAACTGGTGGGACCATGCCAGAACGGCTAGCGGAAATGCTCTTGGATCTCTGGACTCCATTAATAATATTATGGATTGCTCTCCCCCCTTGCATTTACATGGCTCCGATGAATCAGTCTCACTCTCACGTTTTAATGAGTGGATCCCCTTTGGAACTAAACAGGCTGAGTGAAGAACAGCGGATTTTGAACCGCTCCAAAAGAGGCTGGGTTTGGAATCAAATGTTTGTCCTGGAAGAGTTTTCTGGACCTGAACCGATTCTTGTTGGCCGGGTAAGCTTCGTTTTTTTTAAGATCCCAATTTCAGGGTCTGTTTGTGGTCTTTAGATGTTTAACATCAGACTCCCCACAGTTGCTGCCACACTTAGCTCTTAAATCCTTTAAGCCAGATGGTTGGTTAGTTAACCTGTTGGTTTCCTTAGGAATATGAATAATCCCATAGTAACCATATAAAAATGGTCTTCTTGGGACTCCCCATTCCTGCACACACACACTTCTTCCCCACCCTCAGAGAGAAAAAACCCAACACTTATGTAATGCATAAACAAATATGCATTCTTCCTCATGTATGTGAGAGTTGCCCATGCCAAACCTTGTCTTTAGTTTGTGGTACTTGGCTCTGTGCTTGGAAAAGGTATACATCTTTTGCTCAGTTTGAAATTCTACCACCTCAGTTGTTAAGATATTATTTCATTTTATTTTTAGACCATGTATCTACAATTGCAGATGTATGTTTCTCCTTTTGTTTCATCATATTTTTTTCAATCTTTAGAATGGTGAAAGTGAAGATTTTAATGTAAATGATTAACAGTACCTTGTTCTGTATTTGATGAAATTTGTAATAGGAAAATAGCTCATTCATTGTAAAGTGGGATAAAAAGTGTATAATCAAAATTTTATTTTAAAAGTGTGCGTGTGTGTGTGTGTGTGTGTGTGTGTGTGAGAGAGAGAGAGAGAGAGAGAGAGAGAGAGAGAGAGAGAGAGGTGTTAGTTTACATATGTTTTGTTATTTTTGGCAAATTCTTTGTGTAGTCACAGTTTTCCAAAATCACGGTGGGTTACTGAGGACACTACAGGTTTAGCCTCAGAACTATCCCTAAGCTTCCATTAATTTTGATGCAACATTATCACCTTAGGTAGAATTCCAATTATGAGCCTGCTGCTGGCAGATTACTTAATAAGTTAGATTCAGAATTGAATCATGCCAGTATTATTCATTTCTCAAATGCAGTGATCTAAAAGAAAAATAGGAGGGGTATTAAATATTGATCTTCAAGACTTAATTCTTTGTGTTTCACTAGAAGCTTCTGATTGTATTACTGCTTCTACCTGTTGTCTTGAAAAGGCAGTTGGGTCTCTGAGCATTGTGTTTTCTCATTTCATGTGGTTCTAGTTAGAAGAAGAAAGCTTGGAAGAGGAGATAGCATAAATCACTCCACTGATCTTTATTAAGCTCTTCCTGTGTGCCAGTCACTCTGTTAGGTGCATATGGCATATCCATAAAGCAATGATCTTTGTCTTCAAGGAACTTATATTCTGGCCAACATTGAGTGTTTTTTTGCATGTCAAATGGTACTATAAAACTACTTTGTTGGCATAAATCTATTGGATCCTAACAAGAGTTCCCCAGATATGTATATGTATGTATAGGTTTATCAGTGTGCATGTGTGTATATACACACACACACATGAACATATGAAAATATGCATATAAAACGGTTTTGTACTCCCATTCATATAAATTCAAAATATAAAATTCTGTGAAGGATTTTTTTTTTATATTCTTGATACAAACTCAGGTAGCAGAACTGACATGAAGCTATTTATAGTCACAATGCATCCCAGTACTGTGACTGTTCATACATTTCACTGCAGAAATATTAATGTAGTTGATTACAGGGTGCTGCCCCAGACCTGCTGAGACTGTTACTTACTATATAGTTTATATACCTTGATATGTTTCTAAAGTGTGAAAAGTTCTGAATTCCAAAACACATATAGCCTCATGGATTTTAGATATGGGCTTCTTAACCAGTGTTATCTTTTTTTGTGTGGATGCAGAAACTGAGCCTTAGCTGAATTAATAAATCAAATCATGATCACAGAGTTAGCAAATGATCTACCTGGGTTTAAATCCTGTTGGAGACTCTCAAGGCCATAATTTCACCCACCATATCCTATTACATATTCATAATCAGGTACCTGGAGTCTAACCTATAATTTCTACTCAATAGTTACTGAATACAGATTGCAAAGTCCTGAAATTCTTACTTCTGGATGTGCACATTTCTTTAAACAGTTTTAATTCAAGTCATTTCCATATCTTATGGAATTTTGGAAATATGTGCATATAAATATAATAGATCAATACTTCCTCTGTGCATTTCTTCTGTTAGTTATCTCATTATGCAGGTGTATCACTTTGGTCCTGTATTGCATAATGTACATAACTGAACATACTGTGCTCAAGAGAGCATTCCATTTTTATCTGAATAGAAAAAGTAATTAAAGCAAGGTTTGTTTTGGGCTCAGAATCTGATGGCTGATTTCACCTCTGTTCCTTAAATTGAGTCATAGAGATAGAGCAAACGGCGAGTATTTTAGCATTTCTGTGTGACTTAGTAATTCTTGAGCTGTTCATGCTTCTCTGAATGACAGAAATGTTTTTAGTGAACCCTAGGGTTTCAAAATAGTCAAAAAACTTCTGAGTCCTAATTCCAGACATTTTTATAAATTGGCCCTTCTGCCTGCACCCTACCATGGCCTATTCCCAAACCGTTGTTTAAGTAGAATTAAACTATTTTCTGAAAAGCTTTTCAGCAAACACATTTGCCCCAAAAGAAAATGTCTCCTGAATTAGGACAACTTTGCCTTTGAGGATCTTGGGTTGTAACAAAGCCAAAAATACATTTCAGGTGACTGCTTCAGATTATGTCAGGCTGAATGCGGGGATGATCCGTATCGGGGTGCCCACTGGTGCTTTTCAGTGTTTTATCTCTGTGCACACTCTTCCACATCCGACTGTTTAAACCACTTCACCACAGAGCTCCCCAGGAACGGGCTGAGAAGCATTAGTTACTTATGAGCATACCTGCTCTTTAAAAGGCCCTCCTGCATGTCACCGTAGTGGGAGCCTCAGACCTGGCAGGCTGAGTTCAAGCTCAAGGGCAAAACCAGCTTTTGAGTAATTGGCTCTTCTGAGCTACACATACACCCTTACAGCAACCATCTTCCATTTTACATACCCGTAGATGCTGGATGCTGGGAAAGACTCTCAGCATTAGAGAGAGACGAGTCTCCAGAGGTTTGCATATTAATTTTATTGCTTTATGGGTGCTAACCCTGGGAAAGTTACTGAAGTAGTTCAAGGCTTATGCAATAAGATAAATACGAATATTTCAGAGTCAATAAAATACACAGTGATTGGCACACAGAAATTGTAGTCATAATATTGTTCTTACTTTGTGTAAAAATGTGTGTGTGTGTGTGTGTGTGTGTGTGTGTGTGTGTGTATGGTTGCAGTAGAATGGTGGACAAACACACCGACTATTTCCTTATTGCCTCCTGTCAGCACAAGCCTCTGGGAGCCTAAAAATGGGCCCTTTCATTAGTCTGGGTGGAAGCAATGTTTCAGTAGATCTTGAAAAATGCCTGGCATTCAGCCTAGTGGGGTGTGGTAGAGCTGAAACTGAGGTGCCCCAGTTAGAGGGAAGGTTTACGCAGATCACAGGTATAGTAAGGTGACTGAACATTCCCTTGGTCAGAGCAACATAACCCTCCATATATCCTGTTTAATTAGAATTAATTTGAAAGTCATCTTTTTAGTCTTTTCCTGTCCATTCTGCATAAAATACAATCGTCCTTCTTGCCATATTTCACAGCTTTTTTCCTATGTTGTATTTTTTTCTACTTTCTAGTGATCATTATCTAACCTACTCTATGTTTATGATTGGTCTCCTGTTAGAATTGCAAGTTCCACAAAGAAATTATATATTTACATCTGTTGTTCTACACTAAAAATTCCCAGAATCCTAGCATGCTAGTTGGATATCAGAAGTTGCTCAGTAAATAGTTTGCACAAAGTCATGAAGAGTTATCCAACTCAATATTGGAGGAATTTGGAAAAGTCATATAAACCCAATCAGATTTGATATAAATAACATTTTTCAATAAAGAGGTTAATACTTGGCTTTTATATTGCCTATTTTGTTGCTAGAGCAGCTGGGTAGTTTAAACAACCGTTTCCATATATTGACTTTTAACATCTTAGAGATAGTGAAGGTAGCAGAGTTCACTTGCTAAAGTAGCCCTCTCTCCAAGAGGCTGCAGGAGCAACTCTGTGGAGACCCTGTCCCTTACCAGTGGCAAGCAGTAGCACGTTTGCTTCCAGCTCATCTTTAAACTTCTGCTTATACTTATGGCACAACCTGGATCAGAAATCCTTCTGAAAGATAAATACCAGCCAAGCAGACTCCGCTTCTGCCTCCAGTTCTCTGTGAAACAAGGTGGTGCACAGCCTGTTCACAAACACATAAATACTGAGTGTTCCAGATTGCCACACACTCTGCCATTAACTTTCTCAGGAAATTCTGGTGGAGAAAGAAGTGGCTCAAGGGACACTTAACCTAAATAGGCTTATTTGTTCTGGTCTTAGAAAAGAGAAGGAGAATACCCACTGTGGTTTTTTGATAAATCTTGCAACCAAGACAAAAAAAGAAAGAAAGAAAAATAAAAAGTATATCATCCTTATAATAAAATGTGCATTTACTTTTTCTGGTAGACAACTGGATGCCATCATGAGCCCTCCACTGTGGGTAAGGAGGGTAATTAATAGGGATATTACATAACTATTTATTGAGCATCTGCTATCTGCTAAGCCCAGTGAATATTTCACTGACAGTGGAGTCTTAGCACTAAGCAAACACAGATCTATGTCCTTTGTCGTGAAAAATGGGCTGCTTGCAGGAGACATAATCACATGAACAAACGTCACATTAAAACTCATGTAAGTTCTCTGAAGTGAAAGAATAGGGTTCTTTTGAAGCTAATACAGAGGAAATTGACCAATTCTGTGGGGAGATGGAATCTTCCCTAAGGAAATGACTTGTGAGTTGAGACACATTAACCAGGTAAATCATGATGCAGGGATGAAAAGAGATAGCATTCCTGACATAGCATGCACAAGGCTATTTATAGATTTGGGAGGAGATCAGGGTGACTGGATGTCTTAGTTCAAGCTGCTATAACAAGTTAACACAGACCGCATAGCTTAT